ATTCAGAGTAAATGCACCTTCCTTTGGCCAAATGGTTTTAAATATAACTATTTCTTCTAGCTTCAGTTATTATTTGCATAGAGATTTTCCCATCATTTTACTTTCAACCTATATGTGTCCTTAGATCTAAAGTGAGGCTATTGTAGAATGAACATAGTGGGTTTCTATTGTTTTACCCTTTGCCAATCTATCTTTTGGCCACTGAGTTCATTCCCATTTACATTATCAAGTAATTTCTGACAGGGAATTGAGTCACTACTGCAATTTTGTTATTTGTCTTCGGCATGTCATGTAGTTTTTGGTCACTTGTTTCTTTCCTTACAGACTTTTTTGTGTATTTTACAAAAGAAGGAAACAACCAAAATGTCCATCATGAAAGAAAGAATAGACAAAATGTGACATGTGCCTGCAATGCAATATTCAACCATGAAAGAAGAGGCAGAGAGAGCCAAGTCTTCCTGAAGGTTCTTCTGGTTAGGATATGGAGACTCTTGGTCCTCTTAGTTCCATTCTGATCAATTTCCTTACAGACAGAGGAGGAAACTGGTACAGTCGTGGCCAAGGCCTCATGCTTTCCATCCTTCAAATTCAGTTGATTCTCAAGTCTTCTTTCAAAGGAGAGATTTGAGGGAAGAAAAAAATGGGTCAACTGTGTCAAATATCACTGGGAATTTCAGTGAAGGGTTCTTTTACTGAATAGCATTATTCCCATTTGCAACTTAATATTTATTTAGCCTGTATGTGTTTATTATCTTTTTCCCATCTGAAAAGTTAAATTACATGAGGACAAGGATTCTGACTCTCTCATAATTAGGGCTTGACACATAACCTGAACACAGCAGGCTTACAGAGGAACCAGTGCACAATGGTAGTGAGGAAGGCACAGTCTCCTCAAACCTGAGAGAGAGCATTCACGGACCCGCCTCTCTCTTTAACACCCCAATATGAGGCCCAAATAACTGGCTATTTCCTCTCTGCAGCAGAGAAATCCAGACATAATATGCTTCCCCAAATTATCAAGCTCTAGAACCTGTCTAGAAAGCATGAAGCTCTTTGTTCAATCCCAGCAGTGCTAACCCCAAAAAAAGTCAGATAAGGTATGCACTGTGGAGAGTGATGTGTACTTCATAGCCGAGTTACACACTTTATAACTACTTAAAGGTTTTGCACAGTCAAAATCACAGATGTGAAATTTGAATCTAATGCTCAAATGATTCCAGTTTTTGTCTGCCTCCCCCACACTGAGAGCAATTTCCTCAAATAGTAGTACTCTGGAAAGGCTTCCATGGAGGTAATACTTAGGCTAACAGTATAAAATAACAGAAATATCAGTCACATGTGATCCACACATCACTGAGACCCAGGAAAACCTGTCCACTTTTCCTGCTATCTGAGTCTAATGCTTTTGAAGGTTAGTTGAGATTATACTTTGAAGCTTTGCTGAGAGCACTGAGAAAGAAGCCCAGACATTCAATGTGGATAAGGACACTTATACCTGTGTGATTGTTGTACTGTGGTTCTGTTTATTTGTGTCCATCTTCAACCAAGTAATATCTGAGTCTTAGTCATCTTTGTACCTTAAACACTGAGAGCTGTACTTTGAAGGTCCATAGCTAGTGCCCACCATGTGGCGTCTTTATTCACACGTTCAACACAACCTTTGGCTTGTAACACTCTTTCTGTTAGATGATGTTACTTCTGTGGAATAGAGTGGCACAGAGAATGTTTCTTCTCTTCTCCTTGGAGATCAAGATGATTTACATTGGTTAGGACTTGGTGCTGGCTTCATGTTAGGCCAATACAATGAGTAACTTTCAGTTTTAGCAAAGATTCCAATCATACTGGCCTGGAAAAGTGATTAGTAGGTGAGTGATAGGTTATAAATTCCAATAACACTGACCAGGACACATGATGTGTAGGCTAGGTGATAGATCAGACAGTCCTAGTTATAATATGTTTTTAGAAAGTACATGTTTTGGAGGATGATAAGTTTCCATCGTGGGTTGTTGACCAAAATAAAATCAGAAAGGATTGGGTTTATGTGGGCTAATGGTTACAATGAGCTGACATTCTGTCTTACCTTTTTTGGATGCATTCTGTGAACCTGTACACTTGGGGACATAGAGAGGGAATCTTGCTCATCACTATGCTTTGTATCTTCATGACTTGTTCCCTGGTGAGCTGAGGTGGGTCCTTAATTTAGAAAGACCTATGGAAAGCTACACAAGGAGTAGCCACAGAGTTCAGAACCAGAATCTCAACCACATTTGCTCTTGCAGAATTGAGTCTCACTATTTTTCATTGTAGCCCCAGTCAGGGAATATCAGGTGTTGTTGACTCTTGGTGAACACAATCAAGAGAGGAATTTTCAAAATTGTGATAATGAACCTGTCTCATTTATAAGCACTCTGTCTTGAGGTCTCTCCTATCAGGACTGTGGGTGGGTTCACAGGTGATGAAGACAACAATTCCTGGAGTCATTTGACCACATTCCATGGACTCTTCTTCACTTATTTCAGTAATCACCAATTCACCCAAAGCTCAGAACCTATCTGCTCTGCCTTTCAGCGCAACAAAATAGAAGCTGGAGCTGTCATGTGGAGTCCTTAATGGTGTATTACTACCAGTGGAGACATCTGCCATGTCATTCTTGGTTTGGTATTTGATTTCCCTCTGTCCATGTGGGTTGCTGTGTTCTATCCTTGCACAGCTATAGACATGTGACCTACAGCTTTCTAGAGAGATGGGGACACTTGTTGCTCAAGGATTTGATATTGGATCAAATTGGATATCCAGTGGCATACTCCTCTTGGGGCTGCCCCAATGCTGTTGGGTATATCCAGTAGTTCCATGTCATCCAGTCCTGGTCTCTCCTGTAACAACCATTGCTGCACAGGATGACAGTGAATCAGCATAAAGTGATATTAGCTGAGTCACAGGAAATTCCTCTTGTCATACAGACAATCCAGGAAGAAGGAGTGGCTGGTGGCCGGCAAGGACTCAAAGTTAAAGGACATGCAGGGGCCCCCTTGGATCTTTCCCAACTCGCCTCAACCAGTGCCTACTCTATTAGGGACTAGGAACATGATGAGAAACAAATCCAGATTAGTTCCTTTATAACCTCACAATCTGGCAAGGTAAATATGCATGTGAACCATCAGCAGTGGTAGAGAGAACTGTAATAGAAGTTGTGTGGAAAGAGTTCTGATAAGAATGAGCAACCCCTGGTCTTACTGATAACACAGACTGAGTGTTTATGATTTCCCATAAAATTGACCTCAAAGGAAATCAAAAAGTAGAGGTGAACATGACTGTTTAAACATGGAGAGAGCACCTGTCTCCTGCAACTGTAGATGATGCACCACCTTCCTATTCTGCCAAGGGCTGACGCGGTAAAAAGATAAAGAGAAAATTTCATCCACTACCACTAGTTAAGTATCCTCTGTTTCTGCTGAAGCTTAAGAACTTGTAGGGGTTTTTGTCTTGTGTTCCTCAAGTCGGCAGGCTAACCATACAAAAAACATGGGTGAGAGTGGTGATAATGAACTGTGTGATTTCAAAACCCTCAGTCTTTGGGTCTCTCCCATCAGGAGTGGGTTGGGTCTCACAGGTGACAAGAATGCTCCTACAGAGCTCCTCTTTACCATCTTGCAAGGTCTCCACTTCACCCATTTCCGTGATCACCTATTTATCAAAAAGACAAACCCATATACTCCAACCTCAACAGGCCTAATGAAAAGGCTGAACCATGTTTTTGAAGTCCTGGGTTCTGTGTGTACAGCTGCAATGACATCTGTGATGTCATTGGTGGACAATGTATTAGGGACCCACCTGGCCATGCAGGTTGCTTCACATCTTCTCTCCTTTCACACCTAATGACCTCACCTGTGCAGTGCTCTAAAGAGATGGGGCCATTCTTAGGTCAAGGACCTGTCTAATTTGCTGTCTGTGGCACACTCCTTTGAAGGAATGCTCAAATATTGCTTGGTACAATCATCTTCTCTGTGTCATCCATGTCTGGTTTCTCTTGCAGGTGCCATTTATCCATGAGATCCTGGTAGACCAGTCTGAAGTTTTAGTTATGGGTGTCCAGCACAGGCAATTCCTGTTGTTATAGTAACTATCCAGGAAGATGGAGTGATCTTCATGGAGTTACAAGAAAGGAAATGCAGGGGCCAGGCAATGTCTCTCAACTCAACTCCTCCAAGTATTCAGGATACCCATTCTGGATAAAGTATTCTGCACTTTAAAGTATTCTGGACTAGGCACTTAGCAGTACATAATACCCATGCAATCCTGTGATGAACTTACAATCTGGTGAGGGAAACATGCATGAAACATCAGTGGTGACAGAGAACAGACAAGACAATAAAATGCTGGGAGTATGGAAGTTGGCCAAGGGAGGAAGTAATTTTATTTGTTGGAGGAGGAGATTTGTGAGAAATGGCTCTAGCAGATTGATTTTATTTTTTACCTATTCTTAGTTTTGCATATCAATGTGGCCTTTGTAAGGGGCACACGATCATTGTAGGAAGAGGAACCTGCACAGGTACATATCTGTAGGTGTAGCGTGTTTGAACAGAGTTTATGTATTTTACAATAAAAACAACCACGCAAATAGGGGAAAATTAGAGGAAATTTAATGACAATGACTTCAGTTGAGTTTCCAATACAAATAAAAACTTTGACTTTACAACAACACTGACTTATGTTTGATGATTACTTACAGAACATGAAATCAAAGAAGAGGTTTGAATGAATCTTTGCCAACTGCCCAGGTGGAGAGCTATCTGATTCCAAGTCCAGGTTTTGTACAGTGGCCCTACTATTGGCTGCAGCACTAGACCTGCCTCCTTTCCCAGCCCATAAATGATGCAGGCTGGTCTCAGTGAATCACAGCTGGGAACAGAAGTGGTTGCTTAGCAATCACAGCTTTGCATAGGGCGGGACGCTCAGCTGGAAGAGAAACTCAGAGGAGAGAATTCCTGAGGAACGTGGCCATGGACCTGATCCCGAATTTCTCAGTGGAAACCTGGGTGCTCCTGGCTACCACCTGTGTAGTCCTCTATCTGTGAGTAACCTCCCTGTATCTCTAGAGCTGCGGTGCTAATCAGGAGCCATATTTCCCTTAGATGTTTGGGAGATTGAAAGAGATATTGGAGTGGAAGTTGATATAAACACTTATGTTCCCATTGATCGTATTATACAGATTACTTCAGTGCGTACCCCAGCCCCTCTTCCTGTGTGAGGAAGGTCACCAAGTGCAGTGGAAAACTCACCCCTTCCAAAGCTTTGGGAATATTAAGGGCAGGCACTTTGCTTGCATTTTTGTCTCATTAATTTTGCTTTCTTTGTTCTGTCTGCTACAGGAGTCTTCTAGAAGGATTGTCCCCTGTTCATATGTGTGTTTCCTCCTCCTGCCCCACCCAGCTTTATTCTTGGTTTATTAGGATCCACAGTGCACCCCATACTTCATAATTGGATTACAGTTCACAGTTCCCCATTTTTTTGTGACCTCCTGGAAATACCATTTCCTCTTAAATGTCAATTTTACCACTCTGCAATATATAGAGTTATTCTTCTATGAATAATGAATTTTGTATGGCAGAAATCAGTTGGGATAAGTGGGAGGGAACTCAGTCCCCAGCTGGGCTTGCTGAGATGCCCCAGTAGATGTTGGAAACACAAGTCCTTTTGTGAAATTTTTTGGTGTCATAACATTTTATGAGATTTGTGTAGAATATTGGCTTAATTTTTAAAGGCTCACCACTAAAGAAGAAGAAAGAAGGTATTCATTCAACTCTCTGGGACATTATATGGTTCATTTCATGTGGAATAATGCATATATTGCTTCTGATAGGGAGGTACCTGAATTTGGAGGGCCTCCTCTCTTGTAGTTGAAGACATTCTTGTGGTACATTGAACCATTTAACATACTATGGCATTTCAGTCATATTTTCCCAATTGTCCACTAAGGGGCCAACCTTGTGAGACCAATATCAGCAAATTTAAATGGTAGCCTCTTACCTCACTCTGCCTTCTTTCCCTTAGTCTGACACTGTCAGTCACAATGGAGGGGGAAGGTTTTAGGATTCAGGACCCAAGGTGTGAGAATCTGAATATGACACAAAAAAGAGTGATTTTCAGGCAGCCTTGACCAGGGAGATTAAACTCAGATCAATTTTACAGTTGATGCACAGAGGCAGTAAGCTAAGTGGTTTGTGACTGACCATCTCCATCAATATGAGTGTGACTGGCACTGTGTACCAGGTAACTATCAGCAATTAGAGGTCCAGAATCCAGGAGGAAAGGAGTGCCTGGAAATGAAGCCTTAGTAATCATTTCTCTGCACAGTGTTATTATGAGGCAAGCATCTTATCTGACAATGGAGGTTTTGATGTCTCTGAAGAGTATTTGAATTTCTCCGAATTCTTGACATAGTTTTCATTCTATGAAAATAAAAACAATGTGACTGTGCCCAGGTTGTTCTGAAAAGGCAGATTTAAAAAGGGCTTGATCCTAAATTTGTGCACCATAGGTTCTCCTGACCCCATATCATTGAATAGATGATATTAGTCAGGATCCTACTATTGGAGCAAAAGAATAAAATTTTACCCTTTCTACCTACAATGACCATATCACATCAGAGAAAGTCAATTTCCTAAACTAAAAAAATCAAATTAATTGCCCAGAAAATATTCCAATTTGAATCTCTTAGAGACACTGAAGTTGGGGACACTTATCAAACATTCATTCTATTATTGGAGCATAAACATTTAAGATTCTTTTTCTCATCATTGTGAATTTAGGAGTGTTGGTAGAGGTGGGAAAGGAAATAGTGAGCAAATGTAATTATTGCTCTTTGACTTTCTGCTGTTACTTATTGCCTACATGTTACCTTCCAAGCTTTCATGTTTAGTTCTGAGTCACTGATTAGCAAGTCCCCATATGAGTAAAGCAACAATACTTAAGACTTGGCTTTCTTTTTCACTTTACAGATATGGGACCTATTCACAAGGACTTTTTAAGAAGCTGGGAATTCCTGGGCCAAAACCTGTGCCCTTTCTGGGAAATCTTCTGTCCTACCGTAATGTGAGTGCTGTTTGAGTGCCCCCTTTTGTTTCTTAGGGTTGCAAACACCAGCTCAGTTCCATCAGTAAAATCTCCTTGAGAGGAAGGTTTGAGGGTCCAGGCTTTCAGAAATGATACGTGGGCACCAGCCAGAGCGTGGCCAGTATTCCCTGGGGCTTTCTTGTGAACTTTTTTTAGGCTTAGGTTTGCTTCAATGGAGCAACTCAAATATTTCATCAACACTTGTTCAGAACATGTTGCTCAGAAGTGGTGAATATGAAGAGTGTTTTCTTTCTGCCTCGTGAGGATTCCAGGCAGATACAGTTGTACTTAGTGAGTATTTGAGAAAAGCAGGAAAGGCTTCCCCAGTAGCACCTCACCAAACGGTGTGCACAAGATTCAGACATTCTCTTTTTACCAGAGCTCACAAGCATCTCCCTTCCTGATAAATGCCTTTGAAATATCAGTTTGTAAGGAATCTCACATGTTTACCTCGGGGGGAATTTGAACATATTGAATTATTTTAAGAACTCCTGAATTCACTTATGGTTATTTGCATGGATCTATCCCAGCTTTGTCACCTGTGACCCCTTTTGGTATTTGAGAAATAGAACAAGAGCATTCTGCTTTACTCTTTTTCCTTCCAAGAGAGAACCCTATATTAAATTTAAGTATGGGTTTTGGGGTATAGGACACATAAGAATGGTTGTATAAATACCTCAGATATTTAACCAGTAATACATTTAGTTTTTCTAAACAAAGGCAAAATAACTTGCATAAAATCACAAGAAAATGGACAATTTGATGAAATCATTAAAATTTAAGCTAGTAAATGGAATATAATTTGTGCCTTGAGTTTGGGCTGAACTTTTGTGGTTAACCTGTGTGATATTTTTCCAGGGACTAGACTGAAGGCCAGCAGCAGCGCCACATGTGTGTGGGCTCCTCTCTGGTCAGATTTCCTTTCCTGAAGGTTCTAGGCTACCTCTTTGATCCTAAAATTTCATACTATTTTTTTCCATTTGTAAAAAGCAATTCATTTCCTCTTCATCATTCCCAGATGAACATTTTTGTAAATATTCCCCCAAGATCTACTATACTTAGTCCTCCTTTTGTATTGATAACTGTACAAGTGTAACTTAATCTCAAGGAGATTTGCTTTCAGAAGTCAGAGATGAGTCTGACAGTAGCTATTTACTTTTCTGTGACTTATGTATAGAGATGGCATCTCCCCATCTCTTTCCATTTTGAGCAAGTGCACTGGATAGCAAGTACACTTCATCTTCTCTAACCTATCACTCTTAACACCCAACAACATCCCTGACATTTACACAAATCTCTTATTTGTGTAAATAAATAAAAGAGAGAGATCCTTCCTGTCTGTAACTTCCAATTCCACCAAACTCTAGAGAAAAATCATGAGGGAAGTTAAAAGGATGTTGAACAAGGAGATTAAAGCTTCACATTCCTCATGTGTTCCTGCACAGAATAGTTCAGAGATGCAGGATTTTAGAGATAACACAGATACAACAAAAACACCACAGTTACTAAATATTCATAGATGAGGAAATTTCCTTCAAAATGGGCATTATTCAGAAAATTCAAGAGTGACTCTTAGTCAAATACTTCTGTCCTTTCCCTTTTATGTCCCGGAATAAGGATTTCCCTCTGTCAGTGTGGCATAGTTAGTCTGATTTCACGGAATCTTAGTTTGTGACCCAATTAAACAGGGTTTGGTGTACTTAAAACAATAATGGATTTTCAATTTTGTTTCTTGCCTCAGGGTGTTTGGAAATTTGATTTGGAATGCCACAAAAAGTATGGGGAAATGTGGGGGTGAGTATTCTGGAATCTTCCATGGGGAAGACTTGTTAAGATGAGGTTCCACGAGGTCACTGCCAGCTGAGCTCCTGTGATGTGGGTTTCCATTATAAAGATTTGTAGCCCTGTCCAAACAAGGGTTCCACATGTTACTTGGTGTCTAGGTCTACAGTCTAAATTAGGTTGGTTTAGACTCTTCTCTGGGTTTTGATGGCCCACATTCTAGCCTCAGTTTCTGTCCCGTATCTTGCTATTCCCTTCCTCTCCATTTTCCCCTCCACAAGTCCTTTTAAATTGCAATAAAGTGCCTTATTTCAGACACTTTGAATATGTGCTCATTAAGGCCTGATAGCATCTCCTTCCCACATTGATTCCCTTTTAGTTAAAAGCCCAGACTCCTTTATACTGATTTAAACATGTGCTTTTGAAAGAAGGGCTATGAGAACATAATTAAGTGTATCAGGAAATAATCTACATTGAGTTCTAAAACTTCTCTTTAAAGGTAGCATTTTTTCCTTTGTTTTGTTTGTTTTTAATTCAAGCCAAAACTTTTTTTTTGGAAGAGTTGTGGTTTAAACTAAGATCCATGAGCTTGCTAGGTAGATGCTATTTGAGCCATTTCCCCAGATCTTCAAGGCAAGGTTTTGTAATATGTGTATATTTTCTTGTCTAACTCATTCTACCAATTTTGAAGAAGAGATGTAGGTAATTTTTAAATCATGATGTTTCTCTTTCATTTAGTGGTTTTGTAGTTTCACCTGACTAAAGGGGACCTGTCATTCCCTTTCAGTTGTTGGAGGTTTAATGAGAGCCTTGGAAGAGGCATCATCACTGTGCTTGTGCACTGCAACCAGGTGGGAGGAGGCTTTGCCCCTTCCTACCTCTTCATCTTCCCTCATCAGTCCTTGGAAACCACAGAGCTGGCAGGAGGATCTGCTGGGTTGACATGGCCAATAAAGACCATGAGATCCAATAGCAAGATCATGCACTACTGCAATTCTAAGACCCACGTGTAACTGCTCCTTGCAACATTGTTACTTGTGAGCACTCCTTAGCTTGTCTGTAACTATTCACTGATGTGTTTATTTTTTGACATTGAAATATTTTATTTATTTTGCAGTGCAGAGGATCAAACTCAGAGCATTGTGTCTTCTAGGTGATCAGTCTACCACTAAGCTATATATCCAGGCCATATATTAAAATATTTTAAACATACAAAAATTCAGGAGAGTGGCAAATGCAACTTGTGTATGAATCGCCTAGATTTAATGAAGGTCACATGTTGTTTCTTACCATGATGTCTCTGAAGAGCTATTTTTTCTTTCAATTTTCTTCCCTGCTTGAGCCACTTCAGCCTTTTTTTTGATGAAGTGGCTTCTGTGATCAGATTCCATAATTGAACTCACCTAATATTGCTGTGTATGTACAAATAGAGAGATGGTTTATGTAACGTCAGAATCAATGTCTGGATCCCAGGGTGTGAGTTCGGCTGAAGAATTGACTCTGTTAAAGTGGTGTAATTAGCTGTGTTTTCCCCTCACAGGTATTATGAAGGTCGACAGCCTATGTTAGTTATCACAGACCCAGAGATGATCAAATCAGTGCTTGTGAAAGAATGCTATTCTGTCTTCACAAACAGGCCGGTAGGCATCCCTTTTTTGAAATGTTAAACTTTTCTGTTAAAATTATTTATTATGTTTTTATTTTGAAATAATAATGGATTCACAGTAACTTGACAAAACCACGTTCATGGAACCTCTATGTACTCTTCATGATGTTCATCTTAATGGGAATATCTTGCATAAGCTTAAGTGTAACATACTCCCCTTACCATGATAAAAAGTGGATACAACCCACAGATCTGACTCAGTGTTCTTCAGTTTTTCATGTCCTTGTTTGTGTGTTTGTATCTCTGTGCAAATTTTATCACATGTCTAGATTTAAAAACCAACACAGTCAAGAAACAGAACTGTCCTTCACCATGAAATGCCCTCTTGCAAGTCTTCCAGAGTCACCAAGCATAGTTTAGAGGGTTCATCCACTCTTCCTTTTACATATTGTGCTTTTTGTGTCAGGTCTGATCAAGATTTTCCCAACTCTCCTGAATGTTCCCTCCATGGATTCTTCTTACACTATTGTCAAAACTAGTCAGGCCCATTTTGGGGAGTCTGTTTCTCATTCTCTACAACTTTTGCTGTTGGCCATTGTATGTTTCCTGTTTACCACACCACATTTTTTTTCACTATTGTCCCTCTATAGTGAGTCTTAACTTTATGTAGACTGATTCTCCCCACTTCATTTCTTTGCACAATTCTTTTAGACATTTTGGCCCTTTCTTCTATCCAAATTCAGAATAACTTGTCTATGTCTAGAAAACTCTAGGTGAGATTTTGATTAAAAATGAAACAAAAATACAGATAAATGTGGAGAAAAATCTCATCATTACTATGTTGGCTTCCAATCCTTCAACACAGCCACCATTTCTTGAAGTTTTATTCAATTGCTTTGGCCAAAAATCCATGACTTTCAGTCTAGGAAAGCTACAAGTGTTTTAGATTTACCCTTAAAGTATTTAGTTTTGGTGTATTTGTAAATAGTATTTTCTAAATATTGTTGCTCTCTACAAATGGGATTGAATTTGTTGTTGACTTTGTGTTTCACAACTCTGCTGAGCTCACTTACTATTAGTATTTCTTTTGCATATGATTTGAGATGTTCTGTGTGCACAATGATATTACCTGAAAGTAGGGATGATTCTGTATATTCCTGTGCTATCTGTATACCTCCTATTTCATTTTGCCTTTTTGCACTACCAAGGACAAACAGAATGGTGTTGAATGTGAGTAGTGAGAGCAGATTTTTTTGAATTGTTGCTGGTCTTAAGGGGAAATTTTCAGCCTTTCCCAATAAGTGTGATTTTAGCGGAAGGCTTTATTCACAGGTGCTCTTTGTCATGTGAAGGGAGTTCCCCTCTTTTTCTATTCTTCTGAGGTTCTTTCATAATGGAGGGTTGGATGACTCCATTTTAGAACAAAATATAGCTATGGAAGATGAAAGAGAGTTTCTAACAGAGAAATGCAATTATCTTTCTTTTCTTTGTGTCCATGCATAAAGTATTAGAGTAAAAGTATTTCCACATAACTCCATTATACCTTCAGAATGACAAATAAATCCCTAATTTTTAAAGAGTTAACTATGATTTTTTAAAAATCATCACATCAAGGCTGTCCTTTTTCAAATTGATCATGCTTCAGATACATGAACATATAGACGTGGCCTGAGGCAAAAGTTTTCCAAGGCCATACCCTACCTGCCACCAATCCATTTCTACTTTGTAAGCCTTGGAGGATGCACTAGGACTTCTTCCCTCTATTCCTCCATCTAAAAGTTTCCCCAGCACAAAAGGGATTTGCATTTTTGCATCCAAGTCAAGAATGGAATATATTGGCTTCAAACCACACCAGGCAGCCATGTATCTCCCCCACCCTAACAAGAAGGAAGGCAATTTTGGTCAATATTTATGGATCATATAATGTGCTCCTAGTAGAAAGTCACTGACTACTGTTTAAATAAGCAATGTCTGTTTTGCAAACTTCCTACAACTGTGAATAGCTCCACAACCTTTGTAAAACAAATTCTACTTTTCTTTGTTTCTAGGATTCTGGTCCACTGGGATTCATGAGTAAAGCACTCACTTTCAGTAAGGATGAAGTATGGAAGAGAATGCGAACATTGCTGTCTCCAACCTTCACTGGTGGAAAACTCAAGGAGGTAATAAAATAAGAGGATTTTCCATGGGAAATTTTAAAGAATGAATCTGGGGTAAGATAGAAACTATGTTCATGTTCCTTTTCCAAGAGGCTTTGTAAAAATGGTCTCTCATCTTTGTATGCAGAAGACCCATTATAAAAATTCATCATACAATCTCACTTCTTGTGTCATGATTGGGGATGTCTTGTCTTTCTGGGACTTTAATCTCCACACTGAAGTACAGGTGGTGTTGTGTTTTGTGCTCAGATGTTCCCCATCATTGAACAGTATGGAAACACCTTGGTGAAAAACCTGAGGCGAGAGGCAGATAAAGGCGAGCCTGTCACCATCAAAGAGTGAGTAGCAGGGCAGCTGCTGGTGTTCTGAGTTCTGTCAGGAGACCCTCGTTCAATGGAACTGAAATTCTCACCATTGAGCTCTCCAGGGACCAGAGGAAAGCAGGTGTGTTGTGGCCAATCAATGGGCCTTCAAAGAAGCGGTAACTCCCAGGAGAAGGCAGGGCAGTGAGGTGTGGGCCTATGAAGTGGTCTTTGTCCTTGTATCCAAGGGAAGATTAGTTTAGCAGGGAATATGTCACCTTGTATATTTTAGATGAAAGAAGACACCGTTACATCAAAGTTGTGACTGTAGAGGGCTGGGAATGGCAGAAGGGAAATTTACTTTGTGCATTTAGACAGTGGGCATGGTGGGAAAACTACAATGTGGAACTTCCAAGAACTCAAAACTCCTCATGATTTGCAAAGGAGAAGAGCAAAGCACTAGACATTGAGATTTTCTTCATTTTCCCCTTCTTCCAAACTCAAAAGAGAAAAGCTGTACAAAGACTGGGCAGTGCAGTTCTATCACTTATTGTATAAACTGGGCCACTTTGAATTATGCAGAAACCACATATATAAACAGCCTGACCTAGGCCAGCTGGGGACAAGAAGTCATTTAATTCTAGGAAGAAACAAATCAATTTTGGAGAGCTTCATTTCTGTTTTTTTTATTCATTTATTCACATGTGCATACATTGTTTGGGTCAGTTCTCCCCCCTGACCCTCTCTCCCACCTTCTCCTCCCTTCCACCCTCAGTTATAGGCAGGTCCTGTTCTGCCTTTATCACTAGTTTTGTTGAAGAAAAGAGACAAGCATAATAAGGAAGACAAAGTGTTTTTGGTAGTTGAGTTAAGGATAGCTATACAGAAATATTCCTAGCATTGCTTTCTTGTACACATGTTATGATCCATGTTAATTCACTCTAACTGATCTTTAAACTGATCACTGATCCCCTTCTCATGATAACCTGTGTTGCTTTAAGATTTCTGTATTAGCTCCTCTGGAGTGGAGACATCAAATGCTTCAGTTTTTGGGTTTTCTACCTATTTCTATATCACCCATATGTGCTGTCCCTTTGTCATGTGAGGTCCCAGTCCAACCACATTGCTGCATTTGCCCTAGATCTAAAGTCCACATATCAGGGAGAACATACGATTTTTGGTCTTCGGAGCTTGGCTGACCTCGCTCAGAATAATGTTCTCGAATTCTATCCATTTACCTGCAAATGATAAGATTTCATTCTTCTTCATGGTTGAGTAAAATTCCACTGTGTACAGTATTACATTTTCCTGATCCATTCATCAATAGTAAGGCATCTTGGTTGTTTCCATAACTTAGCTATTGTGAATAGTGTTGCAATAAACATGGGTGTGCAGGTGCCCCTGGAGTAACCTGTGTTACATTCTTTTGGGTATATCCTCAGGAGTGGGATTGCTGGATCATATGGCAGGTCTATGTTTAGACTTTTAAGAAGTCTCCAATTTTTTTTCCAGAGTGGTTGTACCAGCTTGCATTCCCACCAGCAATGTATGAGGGTTCCTTTTCCCCCACATCCTCGCCAACACATGTTGTTGGTGGTGTTTTTGATGATGGCTATTCTAACAGGGGTGAGGTGGAATCTTAGTGTGGTTTTAATTTGCATTTCCTTTATGGCTAGAGATGGTGAGCATTTTTTCATGTGCTTTTTGGCCATTTGAATTTCTTGTTTTGAGAAAGTTCTATTAAGTTCAGTTGCCCATTTTTAATTGGTTCATTGATTTTAGGAGAGTTTAGTTTCTTAAGTTCCCTGTATATTCTGGTTATCAGTCCTTTGTCTGATGTGTAGCTGGCAAATATTTCTCCCACTCTGTGGGTGGTCTCTTCAGTTTAGAGACCATTTCTTTTGTTGTGCAGACTTTTCAATTTTATGAAGTCCCATCTTTTCTCTTAGTTGCTGGGCTGCTGGGGTTGTATTGAGGAAGTCCTTGCCTATACCTATTAGTTCCAGAGTGTTTCCTGCTCCTTCCTGTACTAACTTCAGAGTTTCAGGTCTGATATTTTGGTCCTTGATCCACTTTGAGTTGATACTAGTACAGGGTGATAGACATGGATCTAGTAACAGTTTCTTGCAGATGAATAACCACTTTTCCCAGCAACATTTGTTGAAGAGGCTGTCTTTTCTCCATCATATGTTTTTGGCACCTTTGTCAAAAATGAGGTGGGTATAGTTGTGTGGATTCATATCTGGATCTTCTATTCTGTTCCATTGGTCTTCATGTCTGTTTTTCTGCCAGTACCATGCTGTTTTCACTGCTATTGATTTGTAATATAGTTTGAAGTTGGGTATTGTGATACTCCAGCATTGCTTTTTTTGCTGAATATTGCCTTGGCTATTCACAGTCTCTTGTGTTTCCAAATGAACTTTAGAGAAGATTTTTCAGTCTCTGTGATGAAAGTCATTGGGATTTTGATGGGAACTGCATCAAACATGTAGATTGCTTTCAGTAGTATAGCCATTTTTACTATGTTGGTTCTACCGATCCATGAGCACAGGAGATCTTCCATCTTCTGTAGTCTTCCTCGATCTCTTTCTTCATGAATTTGTAATTCTCCTTGTAGAGGTCACTCACATCTTTTTTAAAATTTACTCCTAGGCATTTGATTTTTTTGAGGCTATTGTGAATGGAATTGTTTTCATATATTCCTTCTCAGTTTGTTCATTGTTGCTGTATAGAAAAGCTAATGGTTTTGTAGGTTGATTTTGTATCCTGCCACCTTGCTGTAGCTTTTATGGTGTCTAAGAGTTTTTGGGTAGAGTTTTTTTGGTCTTTAAGGTATAGGCTCATATCATCTGCAAATAAGGATATTTTGACAGTTTCTTTACCTATTTGTATTCCTTTAATTTCTTCTTCTTGCCTAATTGCTCTGGTTAGGAATTCCAGTACTATGTTGAGTAGGAGTGGGGATAGTGGGCACCCTTGTCTCGTTCCTGATTTTAGAGGGAATGGTTTCAGTTTTTCATTGTTAAGTATTATGTTGGCTTTATGTTTGTCATAAATAGCATTTACAATGTTGAGGTACATTCCTTCTAGTCCTAGTTTTCTTAGAGCTTTTATCATGAAATGGTGTTGGATCTTATCACAGGCTTTTTCTGCATCTATTGAGATGATCAAGTGTTTTTTGTCTTTTCTTTTATTGACATGCTGTATTACATTTATTGATTTTTGTATGTTGAACCATCCCTTCACCAGTGGGATGAAGCCGACTTGGTCATGGTGAATGATATTTCTGATGTGTTGTTGAATTCGGTTTGCCATTATTTTATTAATGATTTTCGCATGAATGTTCATTAAGGAAATTGGCCTATAATTCTCCTTTTTTGAGGTGTCTTTGTCTGGTTTTGGGATGAGAGTAATATTGGCTTCATAGAATGAGTTAGGCAGTGTTCCTTCCCTTTCTATTTTGTGGAACAGTTTAAGGAGAGTTGGTATTAGTTCTTCTTTAAATGTCTGATAGAATTCAGCAGTGACTCCATTCTGCTTATTGTTTTTGTTTTGTTGTTATTTTCCCAATACTGAGCATCAAACCAGGACCTTGCACATACTAAGCAAATGCTCTACCTCCTACCTGTATCCTCCCGGTGGTGTTTATTATGATACTTAAATTGGGAATATTCTTGTGTTTTATTTGGTACACTCATTCCTCCACCTTCAGGGAAACCTCAGTTCCTTGGAGTTGGGGTAAAGCTGGTGCATCAGAATCTTGAGCAGAGAGTTTGGAGGAGGAAGGTGATGTTCCTGGCTACTCAGGACAGGGTGTTGCTATTGAGCAGCTACTGGGAACTGTTCCTGGTGCACACTCTCTGTGAAGGGAAGAACTTTATCAACATTCCCTTTTTTGCATCCCCTAAGAAGAGTCACTTATCCCACCCTTGTCCTGCTGAAGGACAGTGCCAACAATCTGTTATCATCCATATTCTCACAATGCTGTAATTTTTCCTGGTTCTAGGTTTCTGTCTCTTGTGACTGAGCTCCTTGTGTCAGAGCGTGAGTCTATCTCTCTAGTGTCCCCGCCAGCCCTGTAACAAAGGCAGCTGGATCATTGGCGTCTGGTGAACTGACATCTCACCAGTGTGTGTGGTGGGACCATAGACCATCAGATGGCCCAGCAGGTGGTTCTGACACTGCATGAAGAAGAGCAGATACTAATTTTCAAGGTCTTTCTCCACTCAGCATCTTCGGGGCCTACAGCATGGACGTGGTCATCGGTACTTCATTTGGAGTGAATGTTGATTCTCTCAACAACCCACAAGACCCTTTTGTGGAAAAAGCCAAGAAGCTCTTTAGCTTTAGTTTTTTTGATCCATTGTCTTTCTCTGTGGGTATGTAAGTTATTTCTTCTATTTCTCTCTCTCTCATCTCATCTCAGACTCCCTTTAGTGAGCCATAATTCAGATGTCCTATAATTCACTTGCTTAAAATATGGAAGACAATGTGGAGAACACTCACCATTGTCACCTGCATCACACTTTTGCCAACTGAGTTACCTTGAACCTTGTCTCTGTCTTTCCCTAATCCCATTTGACCTAAAGTACCCCTGCCTTGTTTTGTTTAGCAGTATATTTCCATGTGAAGCCTATGTCATTACTTACTTTTTATGTGTGCAATTAATACTTTATGTCTATTGGTGGGCAGTCAGGTTTATTTTTACATTTTGAATATTGTGAATAGTGAACATTTTAAAGAAGAGAGTACTTGAACCTTTATTTTCAAGTTTCCTGGGTGTGTTCTCAGGGATAGTTTGCTGAGTTATAAAGTAAGTCTATGCTTAACTTATTAAAGAACTGAGAAAATGTTTTCTGTAATGCTTTTATGCTCCGTGCAGGAATGTATGAGGGCTTCAGTTGGCCAGCCTCCATTCAAATACTTGGTTTTTTAATGTTTTTGATTGTAGCACTGCCCTCCCCCTGGCAGGTCTGGAGTAGTCTCACACTGTACTTTTCATTTGAATTTTCCTAATGTTAATCATACTGATCAATACTGAGGATTTAAATTTCTTCTTTTTATTATTTTATTTTTATTATTACTGTACTTGGGGTACATTGTGACACTTACAAAAGTTCTTACAATACATGGTAGTTCAATTTGCCCATCCATCATTCTCCCCCATTCCTGGAATAATTTCATTTCTCCAATTACATACACGAGTACATAATATTCCACCATATTCACACTCCTTCACCTTTCTCTTGTATCCTCCACCCTGACTGCTATTAACACACCCCTGACAGGACCTGTTTTCTAGTCTTGTTCTGTTTTTGGAAAAAAATGATATTTTTGTTTGTTTATGTTAGCTATACAGGGTGTTTCATTGTGATATTTCCAAGTATATATATGTTATAGCCTGAACTGGTTCATAGCTTAATGTCTATTCAAACCTTTTACTAATGTGTAGCTGAATTGCTTTTGTTTTTGTTATCGAGATGTAAGATTTCTTTATATATTCTAGATACCAGCCTTTACCAGATATATGCGTTACAGACATTTCTCCTATTCTGTAGCTATCTTTTCACTGTTTAAACAATTACTATATATTAATTTTACAAAATGAGGAAATTGTGACATTTCCATGCATGCCTGTAATATACTTTGATCAAATTTACCCTTCTCCTACTCTTCCTTATACCTCTCTCTTCTATCTCACTCCTTTCTAACTTTCTTTAAATTACATATGGGTTTCATTAGGCCTTTTTATACATGCAATACATATAATGTGCTTCAGTCCTATTCTCAATTCCTTCCTCTCTTTTCTCTCTACTACCTCCCACTGGTTATCCCCCAACAGTCACCCTTAAATGTTCAAGGCCTTTCATTTTTTTACTTTAGATCTAGATTGCATATGAGAGAAAGCATGTGATATTTGTTGTTCTGAGTCTGCTTACTTCATGTAATTTGATCATCTCTAGTTCCATCCATTTTCCTGAATATGACATAATTTCATTTTCCTTTATGGAAAATAATATTCTTTAGTGCATACATAAAACATTTAAAATCCATTCATCAGTGTATGGGCACAAGCCTGATTCTATAACTTGGTTTTCTGTTTGAATACTCTGAAGTAATTCAGCATGTAAAAAGTAAACATTGAATTATTTGTCTGGCATTTCAGCCATTTCTGTATCTTTGGATTCAGTTGTTGAGGTGTTATAGACTTTTGAAGAGTCATATTTCCTAGATTTTTTCATATTTCTTGTTAGGTTGGATATCCCTCACCCCATCACTCAGAGGAATATGTGCATACAGCAATAAACAAGTCACTGATTTAAGACCAAACATATCTCTAAAAGAAATAAAACAAAATCAGAAACCTCATTTACATCTTCCAATAACAGTATAGAAATAAGAAACTAGAGTTCTTACAGGGTAAGCTAGGACTTTAAAAATTATTCATGATGTAGGTATAAAAATTAAGGAGTGAAAATGAGGGGTGATGGATGGAAGGGAGAGAGGGTATGAAATATGAAGATGTGTGAATAATATTACATGAAACACAGTTTAGTTATTTCAGAGAAAGAGAATATAGTCAGAGAATGAAAAGAATAAAAAAATTAGAAGAAAATTTAAAATAAAAGTCATTATTTGCTCCTTGCTGAGCAGGAGACTGTATTCCCCCTGTCGGTGAGCAGGGGTTTTCCTACGATCTCTGGCCCTCATCTTCCGTCCATTACTCTCCTGATGTGTTCCCTCCTGTTTCCCCTCTAACCCCAAGATTGCTGGTGCTACGTGGGCTTGGCGGTCAGTAGTTGGCTAAGGCTCTGAGTCTTCCTGTTTGTCTCCATTACTTTCTTCTTCTGCTGACTTTATGATTTCATTTTCTGTCCAATTCTTTAGTGATATATGGTGTAAAGTTTGATTATTTATTTGAGATCTTTAAAACAATTATAGTACCTCTAAGTACTGCCTTTCCTGTATCTGACAAGCTTGGTATATTGTGTCTTTATTTTTATTAATTTCAAATGATATTTGAGTTCTTTGTTCCATTGTTTTTATCAGGATGTATTTATTAATTTCCACTTATTTTATATCCCTCTTCTTTTCCTTTATGGTTTTACTGCATCATAGTATAAGCACATAAACTATATTATTGCTATGGTGAGTGCTCTCCCTTGAACTGTGCTGTTAATTACAGCACCAGACTATTGACTTGTTTATACAAATGGATGTAGTTCAGATAAAAGGTAATAATCCAGTAAAAAAGGTCACAGTCCAGAAAAAAGATAAATCTAGATAAAAGACTGTTCTTCTCTGAATTGTGCCATTAATTATAGCACCAGACTATTGACTTGTTTATACAAATGGCTGTAGTTCAGGTGAAAGGGTAAGAGTGTAGATAAAAAGGTAAGAGTCCAGAAAATGGATAAGAGTCCAGATAAAAGACAGCTCTTCCTTGAATTGTACTGTTAATTAGAGCACCAGACTATGAACTTGTTTATACAAATGGCTACAGGCCAGATGAAAAGGTTAAGTCCAGATAAAAGGGTAGAAGAAGAAACACTGCTCATTTGGTACTCCAAAGATGTAAAAAAGAGCAATGATTCCATAGTCATGGTGAAGGCTTTAGGTGTGATTTGCTCCTGTTCAGCCAGTGACCTGAAGCCCAAATAAATTTCATAGGCAGAAAATATTTTGGTTGAGACCCTCATGCATTTTGGTCATTTAATTCCTTCAGAAAGCTATAATTACTCCTGGTAAAATTTTGCATTTCCAGTAAGGTTTATATTTTCTCTTTCCTTCTAGTTTTATTTCCATTCCTTACCCAAATATATGAGATGTTAAATATCACCTTGTTTCCGGCTGATTCTATAGATTTTTTCAAAAAATTTGTAAAAAACATGAAAGAAAATCGCCTAGATTCTGACCAGAAGGTAAAATGTGGTGGTGGTGGTGGTGGTTTCATAAGGATGCTCACATTTTGATTAAAGATTGGACTGTGTACATGTGATGTTTGCACTTCCCTATGTATTTTGAGGGAGTTAGGGAAGGAAAGTGTTTATATTCTGGGGGGAAAGAAGCAGGTGGGGTTGGAGAAGTTGATGGAGAATGAGGCAGCGAGACAGAGTTCACCAGTTAACAATAGAAAGGAAAATTACTGCACCATGGCACAAGTAGTGGTGAAATAAAAAATTTGCCACTTTTCTTCTCCTCAAAATATTGTCAAAGATGAAAATTACTGTTTAGAAATTTACATTTACTGCTATTGTCATGTCCCCAGATCTTTTATTGTCAAAACTCATTTCAGTTCTGATCCTCTTTATTAACACATTCTTGAATGGAAGGCCCTGTTAGAGTACTGAAATATGTTATATACATTTCATGAAAACAGAATAGTGAAACACATTAAAATTGTTTTAAATGGGGAAGTAAGAGTTATAGAGGAAGAGCATATGATGAATGGACATAATATACATGTGCAGAACTATCACAATAAACTGTTGTACAATTTAAAAATTAATAAAGTTAACAAAAGTAGAGAAAAACATTGTCAAAGAACAAAAATTAATGTCCTAAAATTATATTTACTCCTATCATTATGCTCAAGAGCTTATGTTGTCAAAGAATCATTTAATTTCAAGCATTGTAATTTGACACATTCATCATGGAAGACCCTATCATGATACCTATTTTAAATATGAGCCCCTCCTGACCTGGAGGAGGCTGTGGTGTTTCTGGCAAGTGCAGCCACCACCTGAAAAACCCAGATTTGTCACATGCAGCCTGGTGAAAATATGTGCTGTCTTGAAGACAGACAGGCAGGATGGGTTCCTGATGTTACTTAAATTTTGTAGTTCTTGGATGGAAGGAATATTCAAAGATCTTACACAAAAGTTGGCATTGAGCTCTAGAGCTGAAAGGAAACTACTCTGTGTGGCCATTGCTTAAGAATTAAAGCAGGAGACAAAAGATTGAGTCCAAGACTTCTTCCTGAGGAAGTAGTTGTGACAGGAGGAGGAGGTGGTCACTATCTGGCTAGGAGTCTGTGTTCAGAAACCAGAGAAGCCCAAGATCACAGAGAACAAAACCCAAAAGTTGCTGGTCATGACAGCTGGATTTCTCTCAGGGATATTTCCTTTTCCCCAAGATTGCTTGATCATTGATAACTCAAGCAACAATGGTCTTATTTTTTTTTACTTAAATGGGGCATATTATCAGAAAGAAGGTTAAATTCTGCCATCTTGATTCGCTTCTGCCCTAACAATTGACCTTGTCTCTTTGCAACATTTCTTCCTTCTTCCAGCACAGAGTGGATTTTCTTCAACTGATGATGAATCCCCAGAATTCCAAAGACATGGAATCCCATAAAGGTAACCAAGGATGCTTCATGATATATGGATGGGGAGGCTCAGAGAGCAGGGTTGTTATGACAATATACACGATTTCCAATCAGAGGATATTTTCTGGCAAGTTTCAGAAACACACACACAGGTATATCACATATGGAAGCCATAGAATATTCTAGAAGCACATATGTATAAGCTTGTTGAAAGCTTGAAGGGCACCCATGAATATACATTTCTTACCTTGAACACCTTGGTGGTCTTGAATCAACAACATCAGAACCAATGTTGATTCTCATCCATTGAATCAGAGCCTTGAGCTATACATTTGCATCTGCATGAATCATGTGTACTGTCCATACACTGACGATGAGAATATCTGATGAAAGTGCACCCTAGGTTTACGTTCCCTTGGATAATGAATAAGTCTCTTCTGTGAGTTTGTAAATATCCTCTTTGTTATTTACTCTCAGAGTTTTATTGTCTCTGGGTGTTTACAAAAATCATTACCGATATAATGGTTACAAAATAATGACTTTCCAGTCCACATTTCTTCTACATTTGTGATCAGTACCCAATGTAAGGAGTGTTCCCTTCTTACCTATTGCTTATCGTTAATATAGTCACTTATTTATTTAATCAGTATAATCTTATATATTCTCAATTCACTATCTTTTTATAAGTATTTCTCATCTCAAATTATCTCAGAATTGTCTACTTGAAGATCTTTAATGTGGCTTCATGTGTCCTTATTTTATTTAACTTTTGGTTGTTAAAATAGACTTTAATTTTTGAGCACTTTTTGAATATTTGAATTGTGGGAATTATATAGCAATTGGGGGAATTGTATAGAGATTTCTCTTCTCCTACTCCTACCCCAAAATACACATTCACTCTATCCTTATCAACCTCCCCTACCAGAGTGGTAAATGTGTTAGAATTGATGAAACTACATTGAGATATTATCACTACCCAGATCCATAGGTTATATTAGTGCTTTTGTACCTTCTGCATGTTTTGACAAATCTACAATGACACACATCCTTCTCCGTATCACAACATATTGTTCTGAGTCCTTTCCACCTGTCATTTTATGACCATACACTTTCTTTCTGGCATAAGATATTCCAAGTTGCTCTTCTATTTCTCCAGACAGTAGGGCATCAGCCATTTCTCCAAGAAACCTTAATTACTTTTAGTGAGAAATTGTTGCTAGAAATCCAAATCTTGTGGCTAGGGTGGTGAAGACTACTGGGTTTGTTGGGTTCTTTTGTATGCTTCTTCCTGTTTATTTGTTTGGAGTTTTTTTACTACTAGGTCTTTGTAGTAGAAAAATGTAATAAGATCTAGTATATTTAAACAGAACTGAGAAATAATATTTTTGTTAGTTTGATCAACTTTCTGGGATCAAGGCAGTATGTTTTTTCTGTGGCAATCAATATAATGAAATCTAGACACACATGACTATTAAATATTGACACATGGCTAGAACCACCAAAGAACAGTACTTTCAATGGCTCTTAACTTAAATGTAAATTTAAATATTCACATGTGGCTACAATAGGAGTCAGCCAAGCACTAAACACTGACTTTATAGTTCAATTCAATTCAGTAGCATGAGGTCTGTGATAACTGGGAGAAAACGTTTAATAGGAGAATTCGTCAGCAGCACCATGACAGAATGCATTATGGGTAAATCAGAACTCTGTAGACTTTTCTCATGCCAATTTTTGAAAATTTTGAATTCCATGGGTGTAGTGGGTACCACATTTATTTTTAATGGTCCCAAGTACATAAAAGGACTAATTCAAATCCTGATCATGAATCCTGAGTCTCATGGTTTATGACCAAAGTCCTTGTGTAGATACATTCTTTCTTCTCCTACTTCAATGCCATTCATAAACAAGGGTCAGTCATCAGTCTTTTAGATTTTTGTCTGTCTTTCTAGTTTCGATAGATCCTTCATAGAGGATTCTCTGTGAAGACTGGTGCCCTAGGTTTTCCATTACCTGGTCCTATATGCCCTGAATTCCCAGTGAAGTTGTATGCACAGAAATTACCATATTGAAAGAACCTTCAGATATTGACTTGGTAGACATAGGTGGATTTGAAATTCTGAATTCATACCAAGCTCCCATATCCTGCTGCAGCTGCTGGTCCACGGACCTCATTTTGAGTAGCAAGTTGCTCTGATACCAATATGGTTCATTTACGTTCCCCCAGACATGTTTACATGAAAGATCCATTAATTTTCCATACCATGAAAGCCAACTCTCTTAATTTTCCCTTGTTTTTTTTTGCTGGAATAATTTAGATTTTTCCTGAGGGACAAAGCTACCCCACATTTTACTTACAGCTAAAGTACTTTCATGTTTATCCTAGGCTTATATATTAAAACTGTGTATGGTAGACAGAAATACTTTCTCTTGAAATTGTGCAGCTATGCTGGTGGTAGGATGGCAAAATGATAAGCTGAAGAAAAAGAACAGTATAGATTTTGGGGGAACTGATTTAAATCAATGGTTCAGATTTTGTTATGTGTGGCAGACTTCAGAATGAAAAGCAGTCCCAGTGTGACATTGTTTCCCCATGTTTCTCCCTAGCTATTTGGGAGCTTCCTTTGGAATTCTTTAAGTCTAAATATCAAGAATGATCTATCTTGACCTTATTTATCTGCAGTGTTTCCTCTCTTCATTTTAGCTCTGACTGATCTAGAGATCACAGCCCAATCAATCAACTTTATTTTTGCTGGCTATGAGGGAACTAGCACCATTCTCTCCTTCGTTATGCATACATTGGCCACTCACCCTGATGTCCAGACGAAACTGCAGGAGGAGATTGATGCAGCTTTGCCCAATAAGGTGAGTGGAAGTTACCTGGAAAAGGAGCAAGGAGAGGAAGGCTGAACAAGAATGCCTCCTCATCCCTGTAAATGAGAATTTATCAACAAAATAGGCATTGAATCTTTCACTCTCAATATTTATGAAGGAGCTGAAGAGAGAAACAAAGGGACAAATAGGAAATGAATTCTATCCACAGAAATGTAAGATCTTTGTAATACAGTGCTGGCCCTGGTTTTTGTATTCACAAAAACCGGGTGACATATAACAGCTAACATTTATTTAGTCTGGTTTCTGGATTTGGCACTGCTGGATATACTGTAGTGTGGACATTAGCAAAGCAAGACAGGCCTTGGTTGGGCTGATTTGCCCTATACAATCTCATACTGTGGTAGAGCTAGAGGTGAACAAACCAAGCTATAATCCAAGTTTTAACCTCTACATTATGTTCGTCATGCCTTTCCCAATGTTGAACCAAGTGATAGCACATATTTCCTCCACTCTCTTCATATTTCTACCCAAACTGGGAGGCTGTGGGCTAAAATTACCTGAACTCTGAGACTGAAAAGACATTTTTGTCAGTGAGGTATACATAAAGCATCTTCTTCAGAGTCAATGCCTGAGTTAACAACCAGGAGACTGGTCCCACAGATATGGATGACTGGATCTACGTATGAGTTTCTGTTTTCTTTGAAACTATAACTACAACTGAAATTGGGAGCCCCAGGAGAATGTGTGCATACATACACACACACACACACACACACACACACACACACACACATACACACACACATAGAGAGAGAGAGAGAGAGAGAGAGAGAAAGAGAGAGAGAGCTGTTGTTGTTGTTAGCCAGACTTGTCATTTTAAAGCTTGTTGTAAGCCAGGTGTGGTATTATATAATCCCAGCTTCCCAGGAAGTTGAGTTGAGAGTATTAGGATTGCAAGTTCAAACCCATTCTAGGCAATAATCAAGACTCAATTTTTACAAGGCCTAATTTTGGAATAGGAATGGGGTGTTATTGTTTTTTCTTGGTATGAACTTTGACCTCTTTGTTATAAGGTGGCAGAATTTTAGCATATTTTTAAGGGGTATATTTGCTAAAATCTATAACTTACATCTTATTACATGAGAAAGAAAAGCTGTACATGGTAAGGGTAAGAATTTCTGGCTCTAGGTAGGAGATTTTCCCAAGCATTTCTTATATTCATACCTACGTTACATATCAGAAGTTTGAAGGCATGATAGTTAAAATGCTTTGTAAATGCTAAGGTCCTTGGCCAATATTCATTAAAATTTGTAGCTTCTAACACTGCAGTAGTACTACATAGACTCAGTTGAAAGTTAGTTCCAAATTTCAGTTTACCAAAATCTGTTTCTCTCTTCCCAGGCACCTGCCACCTATGATGCCCTGGTAGAGATGGAGTACCTGGACATGGTGGTGAGTGAGGTTCTCAGATTATATGCAATTGGCAACAGAATTGAGAGGATCTGTAAGAAAGATGTTGAAATCAAAGGAGTGCATATTCCTAAAGGGACAGGCGTCATGATCCCAGTCTTTGCGCTTCACCGAGACCCCAAATACTGGCCAAATCCTGAAGAGTTTCACCCTGAAAGGTATGAGGACCCCAAGGGAGGGAACCTACCCTGAACCAACCTAAGTCAATCATGTTATGATGTCACTTACTGGAGATAACATACATGGGATTTGCTATTTATATGCATCTATGTCTTTTTTCTGGGAACTTAAAAAAATTTTTTTTGCAAAGCTATCGTGATTGTTGAAATCGCACAACTCTAGGCCAGAAAAAATGACATATAACCTTCCAGAGTCCCAAAGACCTAGAATAAACTTTACAAATAAGTCAAAATTTGTTGTCATGGATATATTTCTACACATGCATGCTTTTTTGTGCTATTGGGGATTGAGCCCAGGGACATGTTGATAATAAACAAGCACTCTACCACTTGAGCCATATCCCCACAAATGCAGAGACCATTCTCTGTACTTACCTTTAATTAATCAAGTCATCAAAGAGAGAATAAGTCAGTGCTTAGTGTGTGTCAGGGGATGAGTCACACAGATAGAAATCCAAATGTTGAAAAATATCAATTATAGAGAGAACTAACATATACTCAACTATCATCTAGATCACAATTCTATAGAAGAGTTTTAACGTAGCTATATGAACTCATCAGCTGCTCCCAAAACCATCTGCCTACATCAATGGACCCATGTACAACTCCACAAAACTCCCCTAATTCCTGTGCTGCCCCGTAGCACATCACACATTAATATTTCATAATGTTCTCCAAATTATAATAACTCTTGTAAACATTTTTGCTAAATGAACATTTATCATGAATTTGAATAAAACATGGCTCTAAATTTTAGCCTAGTACAGAAAATAGGCATGAAGTCAGTAAAGATAAAATCATAGAGAAGTATCTCACTCATTTGTGAATTGACTTTAATGTTTATATGGAGGTGAAGAGACAGGGAAAAAACTTTGAAGAACAAGAGAGGGAGGAGAACAAGCAAGAGGATGATCAGGATGACAAACCAAGTGTAGAAAAAAAATCTGAGATGAAAACACAAGGGAAGTGTTTTCAAGGTGACAATTTCAAAAGCACAGCAATTTTCACCTGCTCCTTCCTTAATGAGGATATGACCAAGTGAAGTGTGAGGCAGGAACCTGCTTTCTTTTTAAGCTGTCTAAATCCTCTGTGCCTTTTTCAGAGGGAACACACCACCATCTTGATGAATTTGGAGTGTTTAAACTACATTTCTTCCTTACGACTTTTACCTAATCCTATCTCATAGCACGGTAACCTCCTATAGAGTAAGGAGAGCACAAAAGAGCTTTAGTATTCAATTCTCAGAGATGAATAACTGGGGCAGAATTTCAATGACCAACCCAGGAAAGTATCCTGTGTGGATGTTTAAGAGATAACCACCAAACATGTACTCCATGTGGTTTTCATGTTTCACGGATGGGATTGCTTCCCCAATTGTGACACTAGGTTCAGCAAGAAGAACAAGGACAACATTGATCCGTACATATACATGCCCTTTGGAAATGGACCCAGGAACTGCATTGGAATGAGATTCACTCTCGTGAACATCAAACTTGGTGTCATCAGAGTTCTGCAGAATTTCACCTTACAAACTTGTAAAGAAACACAGGTGAGACAGAACACTTTCTGTATAAATAATTCTTTATTGGGAGCTTTTTCTAGCTGGGGAGTATTTATACAAAAAGTTATGCCCTTTCAACTTTTAACAACTTATTTTTCCTCCTCGTCCTCTTCCTCTGTTCCTCTTCTTCCTCCTTCTTTTTGACAACTCACATTCAACTTTTAACAATTGCCTAGGAGGCCTAATGACCTCCTAGGACTAGGTATGACTTTTGAGGGTCTTTACCTTCTGGAGTTGTAAATCTGTGTCTGAATAAAGCCTTGCTTTAATGATTATGTAGAGTAAATGCAAATCATCATGCCATGATTAGATACAGTCTCTTTGAAATTGAGCCAAGTTTTAAATTCATTTTTAAGCCAACTGGACGTGGGATATGTTGTGCCCAATCATGAAATACAGTGTTCACCTGAGTTATGACTTTTGAGTGGTGCACTCCTCTACCATACATAGAGGAGCCCTCCTGTGTCAGTTTGTCTCAACCACTAAGTGTACTTTGAACCACTGAGGAGTACTAAAATCTCACGATTCCTGGTCATCTCGGATATTCTAAAATAAATCATCCTCAGTTGGCTTTCAAAGATCACCATGAATTTCCATGTTCAGTCAAGTTTCAGAATCAGTGATTTAAATCATGAAAGCTAACAAGAAGAACTCCAACCATTGAGCACTATATTGAATATTTGGCTTTAACTATCTGTTCCATAATAACTGTGATCCTTTTCCGTTCTATATGTCATGTATCTTCTTCCCTCTATCATCCTCATTCTCTTCTCATCCTTCAAGTTCAAATCAATCCCCAAACTCAACCAAGGAGCAGTTTCCATCTTGTCCAGTGCCCATGTACTGCTGTGTTATTTTATCGTTTCCTATGCACTGTTACCATTACTTGTTGACTCGTTTTCATTAAATTACCCAAATTTCCCTGGATTGAGGTATACTCCTCTCCTTTTTACACCACCTCATTTTATTCCTTCCATAAACTTACAGTGGTGACTTAAAGGGAGATTTGCACATTGACTATCTTTAGCAAATGTTCAACAAGTGATTTTCAGTAACATTGGAGTTTGTCAATACATGCTTTAAGCTCTTTTAACTAAAATAATTTAACAAATGCCATTCATATGTGTACCTATGTGTGTGTTTTTGTGTGTCTGTGTCCTAGGAAAATGCAATGTATATTATTTGAAAATTTAAAATATGAAGCAGATGCATTTATAAAAAGCATTGTAATGCCTCCCTGGAGAACTTAAAGGACAGTTCTCCTGTCTTATGTGAAACATTTCCTGACAAGGTTAATTTTCAGGTCTCTGGCATTTCATATGCAACTCTTTCCTCTCAATAGACTGTTTACATGGGTGAAGGGGAGGAAAAACTTTGTCATCCCTACAGTGTTGGCTTTCAGTTAGCAGTGTGCATGTTTATACCGTCAGGGGGCTTTGTTTTGTGAGAATGTTTCTGACACACCTGGGAAAGGGAAGGTACCACCTGACATGTTTCAGTCATTTACAATCTGACATTTCTCAATTTAGGACAAATTGCTTGCCCTTATCTCTACTGAGATTAGAAGATTGCTGGTGTAATGCCCCCAGCATGAAGAGAATGGGACTGAAAGATTACTGAAAACTAAGCAGGACTCACATATTCCCCCATTTACACTATTCTTGGAAGCCACAGTTAGATGTTAGAAAAGGAAAGAAAGAAAACATCTTCCTGATGGACTTCTTCCCATCATTAACTGAATGGGTTCAACAAGGAGGGCAACTGGACTCCTTAGAAGTCAAGGACGTCCAACACAGATTAGAAGTACAAAATCTTCTCAGAGTTACCTTGTGATATTCAACAAACACAGAGTCAACTTTCCGCGACTTTCTAAAATAGCATGCACTACTGTCTATGAATCTGGTTTAAATTCCTAAACTCATCCTTTTCATTTAAAACTTTAATCAGTAAAGAACATACAGAAAATAAACCAATGTCATTTATTCTCAGACCGTGTACATAATACATATGGAATAAACATTTTCCTAAATGAATATTTGGAAGAATTCTTTCACTATCCAATCTTGACCATTGAGGTATATAAACTAGAAGCAGTTTTTGTGTTTGTAAAGCATTATTGTTCCTTTTAAAATTCTGTCCCTAATGGGCTAACCTAAAGTAATTATGCCATTCTTATTCAATTTTATTATTATTATCATTACTATTATTAGCATATATTAATTGAACACACCAAGGCAGTTCTTATTATATTTCCATATATACACACTCTGATCATGTTCACCCCCTCTGATACCTATTCTTAACCACTCCCATGTTACCCTCTTTTTTTATGACCTTGTTTTGTTTTGTTTGTTTTGTCCCTTAACTTCCACATGTGAGGAAAACATCTTGCATTATTGTTCTTAATATTACTGTTCTCCCATGCTACAGTGGTTGTTAATGGTTCAGTAAATGTTTCACAATATGCTTGTTCAACTGTTGCAGGTCCCGCTGAAATTAAGCAAGAACCTACTTATTCAACCAGAAATTCCCATTGTGCTAAAGGTTGTGCCAAGAGATGGACCATAAATGGAGCATGAATTCTCCTCAGAAGTTCAACTGTATTCTTCAAGGAGGCTGTGTCCCAGAACACCAGAGACTTTCATTTACTTTGTGAATAAATGCAGATGAAGATGGGCTTAATCAGCTGCCTTGGCTGGATGATTGTAGATTCAGTAATTCATTGCACCTGCTCAGTGTCTGTGTAGAGCAGTGCCTATTTTTTAATGGACTGGAAATGCTTAAATTATTGCTAGATATGTAGACTAATCTTCTCTGGTTCTCATGGGACTGTCTGTATGTACCTTTACCAATTCCATTTCAACTCTGATTAGTGATTATTTCCCTGCAGTTGTTAAGGAAAATGGAAATTATTGTGATGATTATAGTAGTGAGATTTTATATCAAATATTTTCCTTATAATTTTTTACAAAATGTGTTATTTGAGAATATAAACAAATATATCTTTTGAAAAAATACCTGTTATCTTTTTGAACATTAAGGGGGAAGCTAGAAGTCATAATCAGGGTGAACCAGGCAAACAGTATTTTGAGTCATATTAGCCTGTTTCATATTTTATTGAAGATAGTTGTGAGTTAATTCATTTTAACTGTTTATTGCTTAGAAAATATATTCATACTTTAAATTTTCTAGTTCAAAACATGTTTGTAAACTTCAAGTGAAGCAGATATAATTTTATTTTTTTTAATGTATTACCATCTATTCTGTTGTTTCTAGGGGACAGGAAACATTTTCATATAGGTCTTTGTCTCCCACCTTCAACTCCCAACTGTCTTAGTAGTGGGTACATTAAGTACATATGGATAATCAGTCAATTAATTGGGCAGCAAGGCTAAAATGACATAATTGTGACAAGTCAGGGAAAAATAGGGCCCGGGTGTTATCAGTGAGCTGCCTGGGTTTTTTTTAGCTACTTGGATGGAAATCATAAGTAGGCAAAGCTGGCACAAAAGACCAAAAATCGTATGTTCTCCCTCATATGTGAACATTAGATCAAGGGCAAACACAATGGGATTGGACTATGAGCACATGATAAAAGTGAGAGCACACAAGGAAGGGGTGAGGATTAGGTAAGACACCTAAAAAATTAGCTAGCATTTGTTACCCTTAATGCAGAGAAACTAAAGCAGATACCTTAAAAGCAACTGAGGCCAATAGGAAAAGGGGAACAGGAACTAGAGAAAAGGTGAGATCAAAAAGAATTAACCTAAGAAGGTAACACCCACGCACAGGAAATCAATGTGAGTCAACTATCCTTATCTCAACCAGCAAAAACCCTTGTTCCTTCCTATTATTGCTTATACTCTCTCTACAACAAAATTAGAAATAAGGGAAAAATAATTTCTGCTGGGTATTGAGGGGGTGTGGGGGAGAGGGAGGGAGTGGAATGGGTGGTAAGGGAGGGGGTGGGGGCGGGGGGAGAAATGAACCAAGCCTTGTTTGCACATATGAATAATAAAAGAAAAAAAATAAGTAGGCAAAGAATAGCTATTCTGGTGTTGGCAATCCTGAAGGCTGTGGGCTGGGATGACGAACCTAGAAGCTTTTCTCTCCAAGTCCTGAGAACTAGAGTTAGAGCTGTAGGCCTTACCTCACTGCTATCATATGTTATTAGGCTGTAAGCCTGCTGTATTCAAGCACTAAATATATGCGAGTCAGAATCGTTGCCTTCATAAACTTTGACCCTTAAGAGCAGTAAGATACCAATGAATATAAAAGTGACAAAAATATGAAATTATGAATTGGGCTACATGCTCTAAAGTAGAAGAACTCTGGACTAAATTAACAAACAGTGATAGACACAGTTGGACCTTCATGCTTTCCTTCAAATCTCTCTTCCTTTGAAAGATATGAAGTCTTAGAATCAATGGGATTTTAGAAATGGAAAGTATGAGGCCTTGGTCATGCCTGGGTCTGTTTCTGTCTTTGAGGGAAATTGATCAGAGCTGAGCAAAGAGGACCAAGATTCTCCTTCTCCCAATCACAAGACCTCTTCAGGACTGCCTGCTTTTCTTTTCCTTGGAGTTCCTACAGGAGTTTCTAAGACACCCAACTCCTCATTATGCTCCTTGTCTTATATATTGTTTAAGGTCTCCCATATACTTTATTTCATCCAGGAACCAAGAACCCGTGAGGCAGGGCATAGGAAAAATTGAAGTGGGACCTAAGATTACAGGCACATACCACCATACCCAAAGTAAAAGATTTTTTTGAGTAGAGAAGAGGGCAAGGGAGAATGATGGAGAGTATGAATCTAGCAAGGCACCTTGTAAGTACATATGGAAAGGTGACAATGAAACCCCTCTGCACAACTAATATATGATAACAAAAATGTTTTAAAAAAACAGTTGTCACCTCTGGAAAATAATATAAAATAAATAAACACTAAAAAGTCATTTCAAGAGAAGAGGAAAAAATCATTGTCCAAAAAATTCAACATGCTTCCCTGACTAAAATTCTGCAAATCTAGAAATAAACGGGAATTTCATAAACCAATGAAAGTCATACATAAAATCAAAGCGTTAACTCTGAATTAAGTAAAATTTTCTCTTTAAGATCAGAAACAAAACAAGGATACCTTCTTCACCACTTCTATGTACTTATTAGAACTGAAAAGAACAGGTTCATCTATGTTTTATTGTCAACAATAAAAGAAACCCCATAAACTATTCAAACACATGGAGACTGAGCAGCATAATGCTGAAAAACCAATGGGTGACTGAATTAATAAGTGAAGAAATCAAAAAGTTCTTAGAATCCAATGAAAATGAAAATACAACCTACCTGATTCTGTGGTACACAGCAAAGACCATGCTAAGGGGAAAGTTTATAACTGTAAGTGCCTACATTAAAAAGGGATTTCTCAAATAAATAATCTAATCATGGACCTTCAGCTCCTAGAAAAACAAGACTAAACCAAACTCAAAACCAGCAGATGGAGAGAAATAATAAAGATCAGGCCTGAGATAAATGAAATCAAAACCAAACGAACTACATAAAGAATAATGAAACAAAAGTTGGTCCTTTGAAAAGATTGACAAGATTGACAAACCCCTAGGAGCATAACAAAATGGAGGAGGGAGAAGACCTAAATTAATAAAATAAAAGATGAAAAAGGGGACATAACCACAAATAGCAAATGAAATCTAGAGAATCATTAGAGAGCACTTTGAAGACTTACATTCAAGTAAACTGGAAAGTCTAGATGAAATGGATAAACTCCTAGATGCATATAACCAACCAGATTGAACCAAGAAGATATTAAATTCCTAAATAGTCCTATTACATGCAATAAAATTGAACCAGTAATAGTCTCTCAAAGATCCAAGATGGTGGTTAGGGTAGGGAATCAGAAATCCTAAGCTCTGTGACTGCAGAAACCAACTTGAGACATTGGAGCTACACCTGGGTAATTCTGATTGCTTCTAGCCAAAATAATAACCCAGCAGCACATTAGATGCAGATAAAATTCAAGGACTAGCTCTTAAAATAGTTTTTAATTGTACCTAATAACTAGAAAAATCCCATGTGGCACAGCTAACAAAGCATGTCCCACCCTGGGTTAAAGAGGCCCCTCGCCAATTCTTTTGTTTTTCTTTTTTTGCTTAACAAGAAGAAGATATAGCATCAATCAGAATTGAACTCTTCAAAATCCTGGACCCCTAACCTGTGTAAATCCTCCCTATGCACACCATTTCTCCCCAGGGGCCAGCTCCAAATCTGCTTACGTGAACCTGTAGAACGAACAGGTGAGCAGCAGGCACATGAAAAACTCCCTTACCCACCCTCTGGGAACATAATCCAGCCCCTGGGCAAATTGAACACCCCACCCCAACAACACTGAAAGCATAAACAGTGAATTATAATCTAACATTAACAGCAGAGGTGGGTATGGAATATTGAACCTGTCCTGAGAACAAGGGTGGGGCAAGGAGCTGAAATCTCAGTGCAGAACTTTCAGTAAATGAATGTTGGAGAAGCAACAAAGTCTGAGAGTGGGGGGTGCAGTGACAAGACCAACCTCCCAAAATGGGGTAAGTGGTGGCTCCAGAGCTCTCATTTCGTGGGATAGAAGGCAGTGCTCAACACTGAATTTTCCTGCCTTGCTGGGTGAGGAGCCAACCAGAGTTGCAGCTGCAGGACAATGCAGCTTCTGTTTGGTGAAAAAAGGAACAGATCTGACTACTCTGAATGAACTGACAGTGAGTTACCTCAGCTCACAATTGCAACTTGTCCTGTGGACAGAAGGAACCAAATACTACTCACAAGCCAGTCATCTGGTGAGACCACATGAAGGCACCCGCTTGTATGCTGATACCAGGATTGGATGCCAAAGGAATAACTCCAGAACTTTTACCAAGCAGACTGAAATTTTAGTTGTTGTGGTACCTGGTGGGTGTTTTTCTTCTGTATTATTAACTTCACCGTCACCATTCTCTTATCCCTGTTCTTACCCCTTTTACTTTCCCTCTTTTTCCAGTGCTACAATCTGTTATTCTCCCTCCCAACTATTCTTTCTGCCCCTTCTCATCAACTCTTTCCCCATTCTTCACCTCTCCTCCTATCCTTCCTCAACCAGTCACCACACTACCACTCCCTCCTAAACATTCACCACCCACTGACTAGCCTAATGAATCATTATACAAAACCCTACGCCCTGCAAACCCTGACTCAAGCACACTCCACTACAAAAGCAGAAATACAGCCGAACACACACAAAGGCCACACAACCTGCTACTTCCCGTATTCCTTCCCCCATCTACCCACTTCTTTTCCCAACCTCACTTCTAGTGCCACCTTTACCAATTTCCCAAATTTCTATATCTACCATAATAACCATTACTCCCCAACTCAGACTGTTATCACCAGGGGGATTTCTATATAATATGTGACCAACTGGTCTGGCATTGAACCTACGAATTTGTTATTGCTAAATTACACCTCCAGGCTAGGAACAGAAAGAGCACATCAACCTGCCTAACAACCAAGTCAGTCACAACATAAAAATT